ACAAAGAACTCTTGTCTGCTGGAGCTAGGTGTGAATGTTTCAACTGGCCACCTTGATTAGCATTTGATGGTCTGGCAATTTATTGGTGTGGTTTGTTACTCCCAAAAATCTCTTGACAGTTTCAATCCATTTTCAGAATCCATTGGCTTTTCTTTACTTCAAATGTCAATGTGAGAGCCTCGAATTCTGGTCCTCTTCAGATAATTTGAGATCTTCTACTGAGCAAGTCCTTAGGATGCTCATGGCCTTTGGACAGTAGCTAAAACATCCTGAATCTCTTAGCTGCTGGCTCTGTTTTTAAAAGAATTCAAGTAGCCCAAATTCCTGCAGGTTTGATCTTTATGCAGCCATCATTTCTAAAGATTGCTAGTATCTCAGAGGTTGTTCCTTCTTCAGTTCCTTTTACATCTAAAAAACAGAACTTTCATAAAATTCAGAAAGCCGCACTGGTCATATTGCTGAAACACCCTATACCAAACGCCACTTCAGTTGATACAGCAAAGAGCAAGTTGGTTCAAAAGCAACAATCTGTTCATTGTGATATGGAAGGAAGAAAATTGAACACTATATAGTAAGGAAATCCTCTGTTACTCTTACCTTTGCAGATAGGTGCCCACACAGGCTTCATAATCAGAACTGAGCAAATAGTTGAGGTTTAGGTGTATATATGGATGGAAATGGGGTAAGATTAATGCCAACAAGATTGCTCATATCTAGAAGGTTCTGAATGCTGAATTGTAGAGGTACAGGGAACCCATTTATATGTAAGTAATCTGTTCTTTTTGCAGTGCTGTTACAACATCTGTATGCTGCCACTAAATAGAAACATTTAAAAAAATATGGCATGGAAATGCCACTTAACCATAATGCTGTTATCTTGTTGTCAGTTGATTTCGCTAAATTAAATTACTGTGTGCAGCTTTATGGCCCTTTCCTTATAACATATTGTCAGCCTTTTATTTGGATTTAATAACAAATCTGGTTTCATTAGACATTATGAAGAAAAGGAACAGTTTAGTGCTATGTGTCTAGGTTCTTTGTAGTACTGGATTTGCAACATAGTTCCACGGGTATTCAGTATCAACACAAGCAAGTTCGGTATTTGAATCTGAGTCATACATAGTTTTACATACTTTTCATGTATTATTACTGAGCTAAAGTAGAAATAGAGCGATCATATAAGGATACTATGTTTATTGTCTAGTAATTTTTAATGTATGAGATTTTGTGCATTTTCTCATTTGCTATGTTTATACTTACTGTGTTTATTTGATTTTTATACCACACTAAGTCTCAAAGTGCAGCAGGTTAAACCGCTGAGTTGCTGAACTTGCTGACTGAAAGGTTGCCAATTTGAATCTGGGAGCAGGGTGAGTTCCCACTGTTAGGCCCAGCTTCTGCCAACCTAGCAGTTCAGAAACAAGCAAATGTGAGTAGATCAATAGGTACTACTTCTGCGGGAAGGTAACGGTACTCCATGTAGTCATGCTGGCCACATGACCTCAGAGGTGTCTATGGACAACAGCTCTTTGGTTTAGAAATGGAGTTGAGCACCAACCCTCAGAACCGGATACGGCAAGACTTAATGTCAGGGGAAACCTTTACCTTAAGTCTCACTTATTCTCTGGCAGCTTCAGAATGTGTCCACCACCACCAACATAAGGAGTTCAGATACTGAGCATATCTCTAGTGTTGTAGAAATTGTAAACAGTGTTGCTTGCTGGGCCTTTAGCCCTACAGATAGGAGCCCCTGGTGGTGCAATGGGTTAAACCCTTGTGCCGGCAAGACTGCAGACCAAAAGGTCGGTGGTTCGAGTCTGGGAAGTGGGGTGAGCTCCTCTCTGTTAGCTCCAACTTCCCCATGCAGGGACATGACAGAAGCCTCCCATAGTATGGTAACACATCCAGGCTTTCTCCTGTCCAGACGGCCAATTCTCTCACACTAGAAGTGGCTCCAGTTGCTCCTAACACAAAAAAAGCCCTGTAGATACGATTTGTAGATGTTACAGTGGGGGTGGAAGCTGTGCAGTCTACCAGATGTGGTTTGACTCCAATTCTCAATACTAGTCACCATTGCCATGCTGACTACAGCTGCTTAGACTCACAGCTCAGTCACGAATAAGAAATGCACAATTCACACTCCTCCTGTGATGGCAGAATGTTGACTGGAATTCAAGGAGCACCCTACTTATTCTGCATTGTGCGGAGTTGTTGCAACAGATACTATCCCCAGAATCAGATCCCCATCTCCCTTATCACTCTGTATCAAACACCTCCATCTCCCTCTTGCATGGCAGGCAGTACATAAGGCACATGTGGAAATGCTGGCTGTGTGATTTTTGGTCGTGTCAGGAGCGACTTGAGAAACTGCAAGTCACTTCTGGTGTGAGAGAATTGGCCATCTGCAAGGATGCTGCCCAGGGGACGCCCAGATGTTTTGATGTTTTATCATCCTTGTGGGAGGCTTCTCTCGTGTCCCCATATGAGGAGCTGGAGCTGATAGAGGGAGCTCATCCACGCTCTCCCCGGATTCGAACTTGCAACCTGTCAGTATTCAGTCCTGCCAGCACAGGGGTTTAACCCACTGCGCCACCAGGGCTCCGGTGGCTGTGTGATGACTTTACAGTGTTATTCCTGTGATCCTATGTCCCACTACAGGATTGCTGTTTTCAGTATGTTGTGTAATTCTGCCTTTCAACAAGATTAAATGCCTGTAATGGCTAAATGGCCATGACAGCCATATGAGTATTGCATTAGAGATCATTCTTGCACAGAGGGAGGTTTGTGAAGGAAAAACCATACACCTTGTTCAGACAAGAGCATGGTGTGCAACTTGGATGAAATCTTTAGCCCCAGATTTGCACCTGTAAGACAGGTAAAAGACTTGCAAAATTGACATAAGGATGAGTGAAAACTGCTTTGAATACTGAGAAGTACAACCAATTCTGTGAGTGTTAAAAATAGCACTTCGAAGTGTATGTTTACTGTTTACTGTGATTATGAATATAGCACATGGTCTGACCCGTGTAGTACCCAGGCACAGCAAGAGCCATTAGAAAGTGAATGTATTCCTGTCAAGATTTTCTAGCTATTAATTTCTTGAGATTTTTGTAGCATCATGTTATGCACAAAACCTTGGATGCTGTTTTATGCCCTCCAGATCTTGAACTCTACTGCAGTGGCAGGTCATATTTGGAAATTCAGATTTTTGGCTTGGGTGGTAATTAGCAGAAGCTAATATCAGCTTCAGCCCCTTAACGCCCTGATAGAAAAGCATCCAGGAATGACTCCTGGACCTCAGAGATAAGCTGCCAGCTGCCACAGAGACTATAAAAGGATGGTTCAAAGTCAAGTATAAACAGCTGACTTTAAAAAAAATGATTCTTGGTTGTTGCTGTTGGTGACAGGAAGCCATGTTCCCCAAGCTGTCAGCTTCCTGCTTCTATTTTTTCTATTCCATCCACAGCAGATCAGAGTGTTTGTCACAAGACAGCTGTCTCCTCCAGCAGAGTTGTTCACCATCTGACCTGGCAGGAGGGAGGCGGGTGCTCCCTCTTCCTCCCAAGAAATGAGCCAACAAATTGCAGCATTCTTTATTTTTACTGGTTGGATCTGTTTTTCATGTGTTCAGAGGAAAAATACAAGTTTGGAAGGTAGACGGATCATTCAAGCATTTAAAATGGTAATTGTGTGTGTGTGTGAACCCTAAAGGCACCAGATTCTATCAGATCTTTGAAGCTAAGCAGACTCAGCCCTTGGGTGGGAGCCTGCCAATGAATACCTGGTACTGTAGGCTATATTTTGAAGGAAGAAACTGGCAAAACCACCTCTGAGTATTTCTTGCCGAAGAAAACCCTGTGATTTCTTTTTAGTCACCATAAGTCAACAGAGGACTTGAATTCATATACTTACGTTCACATGTACCTTTAAGTTCACATGTGCCTGTCCGAACGTATCTCCCTCTGTGAACCATCATGAAGGTTAAGATCTTCTGGGGAGGCCCTGCTCTCGGTCCCACCTGCTTGACAGGTGCGGTTGGTGGGGACGAGAGACGGGGCCTTCTCAGTGGTGACTCCTCGACTCTGGAACTCTGTCACCAGTGAGATTAGATCCATGACCTGCCTCCTGACCTTTAGAAAGAGAACAAAGACATGGTTATGGGACCAAGCTTTTGACTAGTAAAGTTACACAGTACAAGAAGCAAATATGGAATAAGTGCAATTGACATTTGGAATGACTCGGTCTACGAGTTTGGATCATGTAATTTTAATATTTTTATTAGGTGTTCTCAATTTTTATGTTTTCATGTTTACATGTTCTCTTATCTTAGGGTTAATTGTCTTATTACATGTATGCATAGTTATATGTTTGGTTTAGATTTATGATTGGATTTTATGTATGCAAGGCATTGAATTTTGACATTATTTGTTGTAAACCAATTTGAGTGCCCCCAGGGGTGGGAAAAGCAGTATATAAATACAGTAATTAAGTAAGGAAGGAAATAAATAAGTTGCCTATTGATTTATAATAACCCCATACATTTCACAAGATTTTCTTAGGTAAGGAATATCCAGAGTAGTTTTGCCAGTTCCTTCCTCTGAAATACAGCCTGGAGCACCTGGTTTTATATTTCATGAAACAACTGATAGATCATGCCTATTGTGAAAAATGTGTAATTTTTATACCAAAACTGTATATCAAAGCTCACAACCTCTGAGGAGGCCTGCCATAGATGTGGGCGAAACATCAGGAAATAATGCTTCTGGATTATGGCCATACACACACAGCAACCCAACTAAAAATACTGTTTTTAATTTGCAGGTTAACATACTTGCATATGCTTTAATATTAACTTTTGTCATGTTATATAAACAGATTCTGGCAGATTCTTTCAGTTGGAATATGGTGGCATAGGTAAAACTGAATGCTGCACCTCTGGTGTTGTTTGTTTCTGTGGCTAACTAATCCTTTTCCTTTTTGGGGATTTTTGTCTCTTCCAGAGCGCAACTTGAAGCTGCTCCACCATGCCATTAGTAACAAGAAACATCGAACCAAGGCACCTGTGCCGTCAAACATTGCCCAGTGTTCGCAGTGAGCTGGAATGTGTGACCAACATCACTCTGGCAAATGTCATTCGACAGCTGGGCAGCCTGAGTAAGTACCATGGCAGGCATTTGCTGCTCTGCCCTCAGGAGATGTTGGCTGTCCTCTTTCCCTTGTGTTCCTTTTTCTCCCCCATCTGTCTTCCATGGGTCATAAGAAAAGAGCTTCTCGGTCAAAACCTCAGTGAACTATGATTTCTTCCTTCAGCCATTCACTGTGGTGTTGTAGAAAATGTGAGTGTTGTCAGGGATGTGCAGAGCAACTGTAGCAAACATGCAGATGGAATGAGGATGTTGCTGTCATGACTTCCTCTTGAATTTCGAAGAAAGTTGCAGTCTTCTTGAATGATTTCCATATAGACAAAAGATCTGGACTAAGAAACTAGCATGCAGAGCATAGCATCAGACATAGGTTATATGAGTGTTTTCAATATCCTGTGTGATCATACTCATTTATCAGAATCTTCTCATGTAGAGATGCAGTATTATGGTGTTGTGAACCAAAAACAAGCTGCTCTGCCAAGCTGAAATGCCCTGATAGGGACAACATATTGCCTTTGATATTAAATGTTTCAAGTAGGTCTGAGTATCATTTGCAGTTTTTTTGGATTGTGATACAAATTTATAACACATACCCCTCCCTGCATAAATACTGCGGTCCTTCATCTGGAAATAGTCTCAGGACTTAGAATTATGCATTTGTGAAAAATGTTTTCTTTCCTTTTTGTTTGTTTGTTTACTAAAATATCCACCCTGAGAATCCTGAAAGTTTACTAAGTAGTTTTGTATGTGCTTTTAATCAGTAAGATAGGGGTTGTCCTGTCATTGTCGTATAAACATTAGACTAATTAATCTCGCAGAGACCTCGCTCAACTTCACACTATTCTAAAGAAGAGCTCTTCACACTATTCTAAAGAAGAGCTGTAGTCTAGGTTTAGGCCAAGAATCCTTGGAATTCATTGTGTTGCTTGAGATGGCTTAACTGTCTGCAGCAGATCTCTCTGGAGAAAGCATGTTTCTGTGAGGCTGGGCAAAGTGGAAGGTGAAAAAAAAAGAGAGGAAGCCCGCATTACAACTGGATTGATTCAGTCAGGGAAGCCACAACAACACATGAGCAGAGCTGTTAGCAACAAGGTGTCTTGAAGGTCTTTCATTCTTAGGCATGCTATTGTCAAAGCTATCTTGACAGCAGTTAACAACGACATTTCTGTCGATATCCCTAGCCTGCGGTATTGTTTATCTTAAGGTATTTTTTTCAGCCTGGACCAGCCTCTTCGGTCTATCAAGTCCCAAGAAAACTCTATTCACCCCCCCCCCCCCCCAAAAATTGTGAAGGCCCTGTTTTCATGCTGATAACAAATGCGAACAATCTGTTTTGGTTTGTCTTTGGCTGGCAGATTATCTTACAAATGGATAGTATTAAAAGTGAGGACTCATTAAAAAAAGTAAGGTCAAGCATTGTGTGTTAACAGAATTTTTATTTCCTAATGCTTTGCAGGGGTCTCACAACCAGCTTTATTTTATTTGCATGTTGTTCATTCGTTCAGTCATTTCTGACTCTTTGTGACCTCATGGACCAGCCTATGCCAGAGGTCCCTGTCGGCCGTCACCACCCCCATCTCTTTCAAGGTCAATCCAGTCACTTCAAGGATCCATCCATCCATCTTGCCCTTGGTCGGCCCCTCTTCCTTTTTCCTTCCATTTTCCCCAGCATAATTGTCTTCTCTAAGCTTTCCTGTCTCCTCATGATGTGGCCAAAATACTTCAACTTTGTCTCTACTATCCTTCCCTCCAATGACCAGTCGGGCTTTATTTCCTGAAATATGGATTGGTTGGATCTTCTGGTAGTCCAAGGCACTCTCAGAACTTTCCTCCAGCACCACAATTCAAAAGCATCTATCTTCCTTCGCTCAGCCTTCCCTATGGTCCAGCTCTCACATCCATAAGGTTACTATGGGGAATACCAGATCTTCGTTGTCAGTGTGATGTCCCTACTCTTCACTATTTTATCGAGATTGGTCATTGCTCTCCTCCCAAGAAGTAAATTTACTGGCTGCAGTCTGCATTTGCAATGATCTTTGCACCTAGAAATACAAAGAGTGTCACTGCCTCCATGTTTTCTCTCTCTATTTGCCAGTTATCATGCAGTCTGGTTGCCATAATCTTTTTTTATGTTTAACTGCAACCCAACTCTTGCGCTTTCTTCTTTCACCTTGATTAGAAGGCTCCTCAGCTCCTCCTTGCTTTCGGCCATCAAAGTGGTGTCATCTGCATATCTAAGGTTGTTAATGTTTCTTCCAGCTATTTTAACCCCAGCCTTGCATTCGTCAAGCCCCGCACATCGCATGATGTGTTCTGCATACAAGTTGAATAGGTTGGGTGAGAGGATACAATCCTGCTGTACGCCTTTCCCAATCTTGAACCAATCTGTTGTTCCATGGTCAGTCTGACTGTTGCTACTTGGTCCTTGTACAGATTCCTCAGGAGAGAGACAATGTGGCTTGGTATGCCCATACCACCAAGAACTTGCCACAATTTATTTGCATAAATTAGTATAAAACTGATAAAAATAGGAGCACAAGCAGCTAAATATCTTTAGACCAAAATCGGCAACAGCGACCGCATTGTCTGTAGCCTCAAACAATTCTTCCTCTGTACATGAGGCAGGACACTGCGAACAACCATACAGATGCAGAGTTGTCTGTTCTGCTCCACAGTCGTGGAGGATTCTTTTAGGTCGTGCCAGCTGAGACATGTAGTCAAAAAGACTAGGGAGTGTTAAGATAGAAGAGCTAGATAGGTTGACATAAATTGTATTTCCTTTTGAAATTGGTATGGTACATGTTGCTACAACAAATAAAATATGATTTGCAATTAAATAGATGTTTTAAGCAACCTAGACGATTTTTCCAGACCAGATTGGTTTTGTTGCAGTGGCACAGATTTCTGCTTAGCTTATCTCTCCCTTACATATAAAAGCAAGCTGACTCATTGAAAGCCTAAGCCTACAATCCTGTATGCCATCATGAAGAAAACTGTGACTCAAGACCACTTGCAATCTCCCAAAGCTGTTTTCACAGCCTGTGCTGCCCTCTCTAATCACCTTGAATCATCCTTTTTCTGACAAGAAATGGAAAGGGTGAACATCTTGGTGAGATTCCCCTTTAGATAGATTACAAGCTGAGATGGAGAACAGTTAAAGATGTTAATACTAATCAAATGTAATCTGTCCTTATTAATCAATTCTAAACATTTCATTTGCAATTATTCTGAAAATAAGACATTTTTTAACACTACAGATGAAATTAAAATTTATTTTACCAGAATAAAGGTGGAAATCCTCTGTATAATTTTACATCTCTGAAATGTTCTCTCCCCCCCCCCCCCAGCCTTCTTGTGAGTACCCTGGTAGGATATGTTGACCTGGAAGAAAAACAATACATTTTGTCTTACTGTAAATGCTATTACCGTATATACTCAAGTATAAGCCGACCCGAATATAAGCCGAGGCATCTAATTTTACCACAAAAAACTGGGAAAATGTATTGACTTGAGTATAAGCCGAAGGCGAGAAATGCAGCAGCTACTGATAAGTTTCAAAATAGAAATAGATACCAATAAAATTACATTAATTGAGGCATCAGTAGAGTAAATATTCAAGAATATTTACAGAGATTGTAATTTAAGATAAAGCTGTCCAACTCTGATTAAACCATTATTCTAACCTTCTTCAATGTAAATGTGCTTACATATCCTTCCAATAACAATAAAGGGAGTAAAATAATAAATGTAATAAAATAATAATAGAGTAAAATAATGGAAATGTAATAACAGTAATAAGAGAGTAAAATAATAAATGTAATAACAATAAAGAGTAAAATAATAAATGTAATAACAACAATCATAAATAAAGTAAAACAATAAATGTTATAATAACAATAAAGAGTAAAATAATAAATGTAATAATAATAATAAATAAATAGAGTAAAATAATAAATGCAATAAAAATAATACTAATAACAGAGTAAAATAGTAAATAACATTGACTTGAGTATAAGCCGAGGGGAAATTTTTCAGCCTAAAAAAGGGGCTGAAAAACTAGACTTATACTCGAGTATATACAGTATATTTGCAGACATGTATGTGCTTTATAGCTTGAATTTGGTGAATGCCTGTTAGTCCCCAAACCTTTTGCCAAATAAAAATTTGTTCTTTCTCATTCTTTTCTTATTTTTAAGGGTTTTTAAATATACATTTAACTAGAAATCACAAATCCTACATGCTCTGAAGTCCATGTATAGGCAGTCCCCAAGTTACAAACATCCTACTTACAAATGACCCATAGTTACAAATGGGGCTGAGGCTACAGAAAATGAGAGAAATCTACCCATCAGAGGGAAAATTGACTCCTGAAACAGTTATCATGAGGAAAAGGTGTCTCAACTGAAGCTTTCTCACCAATCTTTCTTTCAATAACAAGCCAAATTTTAAAAAATCCAATTCTCACAAGGACAGGAAATGAGGTGAAATCCTCTGAACAGGGGTACAGATAGCAAAACAAACACCGCAGGAGTATTAACACTTCCTTACATGATCCAAAGCTATTTGACTGGAGTTACACTTAAAATTTACCTACTTTTACCTATTCTGACTTACAAACAAATTCAAGTTAAGAATAAACCTACAGAACCTATCTTGTTCGTAACTTGGGGCTGCCTGTATTATAGTCTTATATTTGGTGCACTGGGAGAGGTCATCCGGAGTTTGGTGCCATCTGTACGCACATGATACACAAATCTATTACTCCTTTCCACCTCACTCCAAGGAAGCTCCTCAGAACCTGCACCACTGCCTGACAGCTGTGATGGACTGGGTGAGGACCAGCAGGCTGAGACTTAATCCAGACAAGACAGAGGTACTCCTGGTCAGTCGTGAGGCCGATTAGATATAGGATGACAACCTGTGCTGGATGGGGTCTCATTCCCCCTGAGGACACAGGTCCGCAGTCTGGGGATCCTCCTGGACTTAGCCTTGATGCTTGAAGCTCAGATGTTGGTGGTGGCCAGGAGGGTATTTGCATAGTTAAAGCTTGTGCACTAGCTGTGACCGTACCTTGAGATGCCAGATTTTGCTACGGTGGTCCATGCCTTAGTTACATCAAGATTGGATTACTGTAATACACTCTCCATGGGGCTGCCTTTGAAGATGGCTCAGAAACTGCTTTACTATGTTTTCCTTATTCATTGTGTTGTTAGCTTTGCCATCTTCTTTGAAGATTCTCTGGAAGTTCTCTCCCATAATGTCTTGTTACTGATGTCTCAGTCATGAGAACAAAGGTGTCACTTCCAATCATTTCCTCATCTTAATAAGACGAATGAAAGTATTTTGTGTATAAAGACTTGTCACACCTATATGTTTACATCCATGTACATGCAATTTACTGTATATACTCGAGTATAAGCCAAGTTTTTCAGGCCTTTTTTAAGTCTGAAAAGGCTCCTCTTGGCTTATACTTGAGTCAGAGTTATTTATTATTTTACTCTGGTAATTATTATTTTATTACATTTATTATTTTTCTCTATTTACTATTATTATTACATTTACATTATTTTACAATATTATTATTTTATTACATTTATTATTTTTCTCTATTATTGCTATTACATTTACATTATTTTACTCCATTATTACATTTATTACTTTACTCTCTTTAATGTTATTGGAAGGATATGTAAGCAAATTTACATTGTGTTTTTAGTAGTTATATTTATATTTTTAATGTACCAAACATGCCAGGTTTGTCTGGAAATGGGACACTATTTCCTGTGCTGGTCAATGACCGAAATAAATATTTTGATTTTTGACACATTGAAGAAGGTTAGAATAATAGTTTAGAGTTGGACAGTCTTATCTTAAATAACAGTTTTATGTAAATATTCAAAAACATTTAATCTCCTGATGCCTCAATTAATGTAATTTTACTGGTATCTATTTTTATTTTGAAATTGACCAGTAACTGCTGCATTTCGCACCCTTGGCTTATACTCGAGTCAATACATTTTCCCAGGTTTTTTGTGGTAACATTAGGTGCCTCAACTTATATTCGGGTCAGCTTATACTCGAGTATGTATGGTAAATAAAATAACTTTGGCAGTCTTCAGAAAGAATTTGAAAACCTGGCTGTTCCGATGTGCCTTTTCAGATTAGGAACCTCCAGCACCAAGTCCTAGAAGCACTTTAGTAGAACCAAGATCACTGCACACTGCACTTACTACATTCCTCCCGCCACATCAGCACTTTTAATCCTGTACCCTTACTCTGGCCGGCCCAGTTTTAATAGTGTCTTGTTGTATTGTTACTGTTATTGTTTTCTGCTTAACTGTTTTTAATTTGCTTTAGGTATTGTATCGTTGTATTGTGTTTTGGGGCTTCGGCCTGTGTAAGCCGCATCGAATCCTTCGGGAGATGCTAGCGGGGTACAAATAAAGTAATAATAATAATAATAATAATAATAATAATAATAACTCTGCTAATTACTACTTGGAATACACTGCAAACTGTGATGAATAAAAGGATTGTGTCAGGTTGCTTAATAACGTGAGGGGATGTCTGAGTGGATAGTAATGTTTTAGTAGTGTAATATTGTGTTACCCTTTCTTCCTCTTTCAGGCAAGTTTGCAGAGGACATATTTGGAGAGCTTTTTACTCAGGCAAGCACTTTTGGCTTTAGGGTGACCTCCCTAGCCGAGAGAGTTGATCGCCTTCAGGTCAAAGTCACTCAGTTGGATCCCAAAGAAGAGGAAGGTAATGGAGCAGAACTATGTATTTTTAGACTAGCTGTGCTGAAGGATCACCACAACAACTAATAAATGCTTATTGCTTTGGAATTCACTTAAACGTTGAGTTAGGACATCGTTCAGTATACCACCAGGTATTGACAAGGACATGTTGTATGTTCTGTGTAGTCAAGGGTGTCTTTGTAGTTCCTCGCCATTTTAGGAAGGTTTATCTGATAGTTACCTAGCGACCCCTTGCTGACTGCATAATTCAAGAGCAGGACCTCTTACTTTGTAGTCTCCTCCAGGGAGCTTCTCATTCAGTCACCTTTCCCAGCTTGATGTGCTCGTATGTTTTGTACTGCAATCCCCCTAATTCTCAGAGACTAGCCATGCCAGTTTTTGGTTGTGACCATTGAGAAGGAAGAGCAGCGCTACACTGAGGAAGAGTTATAAATCTATAGACAAGCTGTTTCAAAACAGCATGTAACTAGTGTCCAAAAACTGTAATTGTCACTGAATCTGTTATGTTTATTATGTGTTGGAGGTCCACATTGGACTGACCAAGTTATCCACAAGGCTTCCAGACGGGATTGGATTTCTGGGATTTTTTAAAGACACTCTTATTTATTACAACCATAGTTTTGTGTTTATGTTTTCAGTAGTTTATTATTTTATCAATTCACTAAAAATTGTGATACTTTTGTTATATAATTTACTTTTCTACGAAAATATTTTAATGAGTGTATAACACTAGGCAATATATCCCAGGAGCTTCTTGGGCTGGTTCTGTCCAATCCCTATGCTGTTGTTGTTTTTGAAAGCTACGGGAAAGAATTTCACAGCGGTTTGTTCTTAAGCCAGCATACACATACACAGGCTTTTGGACTTTTGATGCTCTACCTAGCAGACAGCGTTCAAATACATCATCAGATGATACTAAAAAAATACTTTTGTCTAGAAAAGCTTCTTTATAAGCCTGCAGGAGTCTAGTGTCTAGATCCAGGGAAGTCATGCTCCCTCTCTATTCTGCCTTGGTCAGAACACTTTACCTGGAATCACACAGTGTCTAATTCTGGGCACCGCCATTTAAGGGAGATGTTGACTCTTAAGATGAACTGTGTCCAGAGGAGGGCAACTCAAAGAATCAAAGGTCTGGAGAACAAGCCCTCTGAGGAGCGGCTGAAAGAGCTGGGCATGTTTTGCCTGCAGAAAAGAAGGTCGAGGGGAGACATGACTATGGCCATATATCAAGATGGGAGGGGAAGTCATAGGGAGGAGGGAGCAGGCTTGTTTTCTGCTGCCCTGGAGACTAGGACACAATGGAACAGTGGCTTCAAAATACAGGAAAGCAAGGAGATTCCACTGGAACATCAGGAAGAACTTCCTAACGGTGAGAGCTCTTCAGCAGTGGAACTCTCTCTCTCTCTCTGTCCCTTGTGGAGTGTGGTGGAGATGTCTTCTTTGGTGGCTTTTAAACATAGGCTGGATGGCCATCTGTCAGGAGTGCTTTGAATGCAGGTTTCCTGCTTCTTCACAGAATGGGGTTGGACTGGATGACCCACCAGGTCTCTTCCAACACTAGAATTCTATGATTCTATCAATATAGTGAAAGGATCTATGCTGTAATTACTGGGCGAAATGAGAATAGTTACAGAGTAAATGGGATTTTGTATTTTGAGTTGACTACTTTTTTTCCCTTTTGGTCATCTTCAGTATCCCTGCAAGGCATCAACACCAGGAAAGCCTTCAAAAGCTCCACAGTTCAGGACCAAAAACTCTTTGACAGAGACTCTCTCCCTGTGCCTGTCCTTGAAACGTACAACATTTGTAATATGCCACCACCTCTTAACATCCTGTCCCCCTACAGGTAAGACACCTTGTATTCGTAACCAAGCAGGAAGACTACCTATCCAGTTGATAATGTCGCATTGTTGGAGAGGCCCGTAAAAGAAGCTCTATTACTGGTGGGGAGGGAGGAGCGAACTTTTCCTATAAAGACAGGCTGAAATGTTTTGGTCTTTGTAGTGACGAGAAAAGATTACAGGAGCATGGGGAAAAGGCGCCATGATACAGCATTGTAAATGTGCAACAGGAGATGAGAATGTACCTTTCTATCATTGTTATGAGAGAACTTAGACTCATACTGCATTTGGCAAGTGATTTAGGAATAGACACGGCTCCTTCTCGCTTTTAGCCACCAAAGTGGTATTATCTGCATATCTAAGGTTGTTAATGTTTCTTCCAGCAATTTTAACCTCAGCCTTGGATTCATCAAGCCCTGCATGTCCCAAATTGACCATTTAAGTCAGTGGTTCTCAACCTGGGGTCCCCAGATGTTTTTGGCCTTCAATTCCCAGAAATCCTAACAGCTGGTAAACTGGCTGGGATTTCTGGGAGTTGTAGGCCAAAAACATCTGAGGACCCCAGGTTGAGAACCACTGATTTAAGTACATTGTGTTCATGTATGCTGGCAGGCATACTACAACAAGGGGTGGATCCCCAAATACTCTTATTTCTTTGGCCCACAGAAATAACTATTTTTGAGCAGGTAAAAGATTCAGCAGTTAATTGCACATAGCTGGAAACAATTCTCCTGGTTGAGATGTGGTGGTAATACAAAGTCGTTGCTATATGCACTGTATCAAAATCGTTTCCTGTTACAACACCATAAAGACACAGCAGGTGCCTAACCTTGTGTAGGACAGGAAGGACAAGTCCAAACCTTTTCCTGATGCATTAGAGTTTTTAAAGCCATAAGGAATCTTTTCATTGCGCTCTGTTACCTGGGGCATATTGTACTTGGGCTCTAGGTAAGCATTTCTTCTTCTTGGTCCATGTGTTTGTCTGTGTTTATGTATATATCTCTGTTCTCTTTCCTAGGGATGATGGCAAAGAAGCACTTAAATTTTACACAAATCCATCATATTTCTTTGATCTTTGGAGAGAGCAGATGCTGCAGGACACAAAGGATATAATAAAAGAGAAGCGGAAGCATAGGGTGAGGCTGAGGGCATCTCTTTGTTATTGAATAGTTTCGCACTTAAAGAAGGCAAGGGAGGGAAAACATAATGGATAGTAGCTCTTTGAATTGAGGCAATCCTTTTTAGAAGTGGACGTAGACATTTTTTATTATACAGCAAGATTCGCTTTTATGATTTCAGATTGAGTTGTTTGTCTGACTTCAGTTGTAGGTAATATTTAAATCAGTGTTTCTCAACCTTCCTAATGCCGCGACCTCTTAATACAGTTCCTCATGTTGTGTTAACCCCCAACCATAAAATTATTTTTGTTACTACTTCATAACTGTAATTTTGCTACTGTTATGAATTGTAATGTAAATATCTGATATGAAGGGACTCACTGGCACGAACCTCCCTCCAACCTCACAGACCCTTACTCGTACATGCACACCATTCTGCCATGCGCCGAGGATGCTTGCTCTCCCCTCCCCACTTGGAGTCTTAGAAACAGCCCTCCTCTTGGTTGAGAGGCCAGCTGAGAGGCCAGCCAATCACAGCAGAGGAGGGCTTTGGTAGGAGGATTCGCCATCTGTTTCCAAAATGGAAGAGAAGGACAGGTGGAGAGATCTTCAGCCTCCTCTGCCAAATAAGCTCCTAAGACCATCAGAAAACTATGTTTTCTGATGGTCTTTGGCGACCCCTCTGAAACCCTCTTGCGACTCCCTCAGGGGTTCTGACTGCCAGGTTGAGAAACACTGATTTGGGTACTCATCATAAAATCATGCTACATTTCTTTGTAGTGCTGAAGATGAAAGTCTGTATACCTGAGAGTAAGTCTCATTGAATGCAGTGAGTAAAAATGCAAAGGTTTGGACCATTAACACTGAGGAAAGCCATACTGCCTGTTGTGATGGATCCCCTGCCTTAACCCTGTATCTCTTTTTCAATTTTCCTGGCTTTTGGTCCTTTTCTAGGCGACACAAAAGTACTAAAGCCCAGTCTCCAATATAAAATGCCAAAATTATGATTTCTGTGCCAGGCCTCTCCCCCTTCACATTGTATCTTCAAGGAGAAATTGACTCAACTTCCTTTCAGTTTCAAAGAGACATGCAACTGTAAAGAGGGAATGGCTTCCTATGCTGAGCAGGAATCAACTATGGGTGGGTCACAGCTAGTGTTGAGGATATTCCCTAGTGCCACAAGAGAAATTGGCATTCCCACTTGTCAGCCAAGATATGTGTGTGAGTGAACACACATGCACTTTATGACTCCCTGCTCTTCAAAAAAAATTTACGAGGGAGATCCTAAGATACCAGCACTCTTTTCTTTGTAAAATGTTTGAAGGCCTGACTATAAATCCCTGGAATAAATAAAATGCCACTTTCGAAACCTGAGATGGTAGTCTTGTCCCTGTGGTAGGAGAGAGGTGGATGTCGGAGGCAGCTGCTCCATGACTGGTACCGACAGTCCCTGGGTTATGAACAAGATAGGTTCTGTAGGTTTGTTCTTAAGTCTAATTTGTATGTAAGTCAGAACAGGTACATTTTTGAAATGTAATTCCAGCCGGAAAACCCAGGATGTTGGTAACTCTGGGGCTGCCTTGATGCAGTTTACCTGTTTCAGAACTGCTAACTTCTGCAGCTAGGATGGTGTGGAATCCAAGAATGGGAAATTGTTTAAGTAATCATGGAGCAGCTCACCCAAACACCTCCTAGAGCAGTGGTTCTCAGCCTCAAAGACTCTATGGACTTCACCGCATTAGTTAAATTCCACCGAATTCTACACTTAAAAATCTGGGCGTCCACTGGGGTTACTACATTCGTTTGGGTTTTAAGTCTTTTAAACATAAGGGGCAGCAGTCTTTTTCAACTCATCAGGAAGAGGTGAGGAAATTGATTTTTTCTCAATTCTCCAGATTTCTAATGAAGTAGCATTTGTTGCTCCCAGTTGAAATTGTGGGAGGGGAAGTTGTGGGAGGAGCTGAGACACCCACCTGAATAGGAAGAGTTCTGTTGCCGCCATTTATTTATTTATTTATTTATTTCGGGTATTTTTACCCCGCCCTTCTCAACTCCCTGGGGGGAGGGGACTCAGAGCGGCTTCCAGCCGGCACATATTCGATGTCTACAATTAAACACAATGGATTACACCGCAAAACAATAATTATAAATAGTTAAATCATTGAGTTAATGCAATAAAATCTACTTGAAAAGAAAGCCAGCCTGGTGGCTATTGTCTCGCCGTGTTCTGTATAATTAGTGATTCCATTCAGCTTATCATAATCCATTTCCATAGCTATTGTCATCATTCTCCTTGTCAGTCTGCAAGATTACCCAAAGGCCTTTTTTACATTTCCTTCTAAAGGAAAAGAGGGATGAGGATGACCTAATTTCCCCGGGGAGTGAATTCCACAGGCTGGAGGCCACAACCGAGAAGGCCCTGTCCCTCGTCCCCACCAGTCTCGTTTGTGACAAGGGTGAGGCTGAGACCAGGGCCTCTCCAGAAGGTCTTAAATTCCTTGGTGGGACATAGAAGGAGATACGTTCGGACAGGCATTCTGGGCCGGAACCGTATAGGGTTTTATGGGTCAAGACCAAGCACTTTGAATTGTGCTTGGAACTGGATCGGCAGCCAGTGGAGCTGACATAACAGAGGGGTGGTATGCTCTCTGTTTGATGCTCCAGTAAGAAGTCTAGCTACCGCCCGTTGGAATAGTTGAAGTTTCTGAACAGTCTTCAAAGGCAGCCCCATGTAGAGCGCGTTGCAGTAATCTATTTGAGATGTAACAATAGCGTGGACTACTGTGGCCAGATCAGACTTCCCAAGGTACGGGCGCAGGTGGCGCACAAGTTTTAATTGTGCAAAAGCTCTCCCGGCCACCGCTGAGACTTGAGGTTCCAGGCTCAGCAATGAGCCCAAGATCACTCCCAAGCTGAGAACCATTTCCTAGGTCTTTGCCAAAACAATTTCTTTAATAAAAAAAAGACTTGAAAATAAGCCCCACTGAGTTCAATTAAACTCTAGCATCTTTCAGGGCTGTTTGGCCATGTTCCAGAAGCATTATCCCCTGAGGTTTCACCCACATCCTCTGGTGGAAGTGAGAATGAAGCAATTGGTGACCTTGGTTTGCACTGAATAGCCTTGCAGCTTCAAAGCCTGACAGCCATTATGCATTGATGCAAGTATCCCCTGGTAATTTGTTTGTATATAATTATGAAAGTATTATACAGTATATATGCACCTTTGTTCCCAAAACACATACAGCTAAGTTGCAGAGTTTGTCCAACTTCCCCCATGCCGGAAATGACACTAAAATCCCCTTTTCTTCGTCCCTCCCTCCTCTCTTCTCGCCAGCCTCCCAAAGCGATACACTGAGGTTTCTTTAAGAAATAAAAAACACCAAGGGATGGTGGGTAGGGCCTAATGTCTCCAAAAAGGCTGAGTGCACTGGAAAAGTAAAACAATGTAGTAACAGGTAGGGGAAACACTTTTTTAAACTAAATGGAGTCAGACACAACTCTCCTCTCCTCCCCTCTTTCAGACACTTCCCAGCTTAATGTGGTGAAGTCCTATGAGATGGCTGGGACATCTTTGCTACTGTCAATGTTGTGAAATTGCATAAATGGACAACTCTTAACATTGTTTTGGTTCAAGAACATTTTAGTTTAACTTTTAAAATAAATGTTTGTTTTATAGAAAGAGAAGAAGGATAATCCGAACAGAGGAAATGTTAATCCTCGAAAAATCAAAAGTCGGAAGGAAGAATGGGAAAAAATGAAAATGGGACAAGAGTTTGTCGAGCCAAGGGAAAAATCTGGGCCAGGAGGGTAAGAGAAACTCCTGTTCTGGGCATGGCTACTGTGAACATGACTTTCAGGCCTCAGCAACTCCATTGTTTTCGGTGTGCTGGGGCACAAAAAGAGAAATGGGTGCTTGTCTTCATTTTCCAAAGCTATTGAAAAGCAGGAGCTGTCTTCTCTCAGTTTTCTGTGGAATCAGTTTGGAGCACAGATAATATGACGGCATGATACTAGATACCTGTCAGAAACCTTGCTTTACTCCAAAAAAGTGTCTGTTCTTTCAAGAAGTTGGCTGACCACATCCAGCCAGTTGGTTACAGAAGATCCATCTAGTACTTATCTATGTTGTTTATTTAGTCGCTGGCGCACTGCCACTTCTTAGACTGTAACATTTTGAATTTCTGGTTGATAAGCTTCCTAGCATTAAAATTTGCTGCAGAAGGAGACCTAGCACACAAAGGAACTCTCTCTCAATACGTTTCTACTGGCAGGAAAAGATATGTGGGAAAGTATTCAGCCTGAAGTGGTTAGGCTCAGAAGGAGCTGTGCTGTGCATTGTCATTGCCCTGTCAGGGTTCTTCCTCAGATACTTGCTGTCATACAGCATTTTGAAGTGTCAGAATTGTTCGATCACAACTCCCATCTCTCTGCTTATTGGTTGGGGAAGACTGGTGTAGGGCTTTGGGAACGTGGCTGAAATCGGAATTATAGGATAGGGAAAGGGTGGGCATAAGCCATTTTCCTTCCCCAGAGGATGAGAGAGTGTACTTGCCCAGTGACACCCCGTGAGTTTTCATGGCTGAGCAGGGACTCAAATTCTGGTCTCCAGAGTTGTAGTCCACACTAGTTCTGCATCCATAATATTATTGTGGTTTTATGTCCTACATTTTCTTTTCCTGACTTGAATTGGCTCAAAGTATTATTCACTTAGAGATCCTCTGAGAAAATGCCAAGAAAGTGTAATAATAATAATAACAACAACAACAATAATAAAGACTCTGGCACAAGCCAATCAAAGTGGTCCCAGTGATGATCAGCACACTGGTGCAGTGCCTAAAGACCTTGGCCTGCACTTAAAAACAATTGGTGCTGACAAAACCATCATCTGTCGGCTGCAAAAGGCCACCCTACTTGGATCCACATTCATTATTCACTGATACATCGCACAGTCCTAGACACTTGAGAAGTGTCTGACGTGGGATCTAATACAAAACCCAGCATAGAGCTCTTGTTTGCTGTGTACCAATCTTGTTGTGTATGAAATAATAATAATAAAACTTTATTTATTGACTGCCCTTTCTCCCCGAGGGGACTCAGGGTGATTTACAACAGAAAAAGGCAAACATTCAGTGCTCAGACAAGTGCAAAAAACCCCCAAACCAATTGCAATAATGCAATATAAGAAACATAATAATGGCAAGGAACGTATTGTATAAAAATTGACATCAAAATAAAAACAAGATAGAAATAATCACATAGAAACAGGTCACACTAATCGCATACACAACATTAAAACATCTCAAATGATAAAAACAATTAAAATAAATGGAAATTGGCTGATAGTTGTTCTTGAAGTGTACCCAAGTGGCCACGAGGTACAAGTAGGTCATCCAACATTCCAATTGATTTTGTGGATCTTAGTCCTCCTCTCCATATGCCAGAGTGCAAAGGTGTGTCTCCAAAAAATTTTAAAGGAAAAGAGTGTAGGGGCCATTTTTATTTCTTTGGGGAGGGAGTTCCAGAGATGGGGAGCAATCGTAGAGAAGGCCCCCCCTCTCGTTCCCACCAACTACACTTGTGACGGGTGGGACCGAGAGCAAGGCCTCCTCCGCTGATTGCAGTGCACGAGATGGTCTATATAAGGAGATATTTTTATTTATCGTGTCAGGAGCAACCAGACATTTGTATTACATTTTTAACAACACAAACAGACAAAACACAAAGTTTGGAGATGTGATTGGACAAATTATGACATCTGTTATAATAGTTCTTTTTAAATTATGGTTGGTTTTTAGGTATCCGTCTAATATGGTGTATCAGAATGGTAGCATTGGCTCCAATGAAAGTTTTGATTCCAGCTACTACCCTCCTCCTCCTCAGCCAGATTCAGGTTCGCCATCACCTCCTGCATTCACAGATGACAGCCTCCCACCACCACCAATGGAGTTCACGTAAGTACTGTAGAACCCACTGTATGCAAAGCAAAAGATGTATGTGGATCATAAAGAGCCTTTCCGTCAACCACATTCATGAAGCCTTCAGGTAGTTTGGCTGGAGAATGTTCTAAAGAAATCCAGATGCAAAAACATGTTGCCTCCATCATGCAAAAAACATGCTAGTAAGAAAATATATTCTTGCCAAACATCCTGTTCCATGATACATGAAGACAGCATATTCCTTCAGTGCAGGGTGAAATGTTTGACACTGCTGTGTAAAACACAACTGTGTCTTGCCCTGTTTTATCCTTGTCTGAAAGCCAGTATTTAAGCAAACTTGTAGAAATAGTTGAAATTCCTCTTCTGCTAGTAGAGACGTTTACTCCCCATGTAGCATCCAACCTAGGTGTATACAAGTTTCTTTTCATTATGCTGTGAACGTGTAACTATTTAAATGTGATTGGATGCTTCTGTGATCTTGATGATTCTATTAAATTTTGTGTTGTTTGTCTAAAACGGGTCCTCAAACTATGGCCCAAGGGCTGAATACAGCTCTCCAAGGTCATTTGCCCGGCCCTCGCTTAGGGTCAACCTAAGTCTGAAACGACTTTAAAGCACACAACAACAACAACAATCCTATCTCATCAGTCAAAAGCAGGCCCACACTTCCCATTGAAATACTAATAAGTTTGTATTTGTTAAAATTGCTCTTCATTTTAATTATTGTATTGTTTTAAGTGGGTTTTTTTTCACTACAAATAAGATATGTGCAGTGTGCATAGGAATTCATTCAGGTTTTTCCCAAATTATAATCCGGCCCTCCAACATTTTGAGGGACTGTGACCTGGCCCTCTGCTTAAAAAGTTTGAGGGCCCTTGGTCTAAAACATCTTCTGATTTCCAGAGTAGTTCTTGGAGTGCTTTATGTAGTAACTTTATCTTAAGGTAGTTGCCTAAATGGGAAAGTAGTATCATGGATGAATTGTAGGACTTGGAACTAGGCTGATCTCCAAGTACAGCATACTCAAGACTCTTTTCCACTTATATGCACCCATTGAAATAATCATAACAAAACAACCAGCAGGTGTTAAATAGAATGTTTGACTCCCAAAGCCCAATATTTCTTAGACAAGAAGGATTCAATAAACTAGAACCAAATGAGTAGGCGCTTGAGCAGGCAGGAATATCAGGAAAAGCTGAGAGGGATTGCTTTGTATTGTTGAAGGCTTACATTGCCGGAATCACTGGGGACCTTTCCACACAGTCCTATATCCCAGAATATCAAGGCAGAAAATCCCACATTATCTCAGTGTGGACTCAGATAACCCAGTTCAAAGCAGATATTGTGAGTTTTTCTCCCTTGATATTCTCGGATATAGGACTGTGTGGGTTGCTGAGAGTTTTCCAGGCTGTCTGGCCATGTTCCAGAAGCATTCTCTTCTCACCTTTCACCCACATCTATGGCAGGCATCCTCAGAGGTTGAGGGGTCTGTTGGAAAATAGACAAGTGAGTTTTTTATATCTGTGGAATGTCCAGGGTGGGAGAAATAATTCTTGTCTGTTGGAGGCAAGTGTGAATGCTGCAATCGATCGCCTTAATTAGAATTGAATAGCCTTGCAGCTTCAAAGCCTGGCTGCTTCCTGCTGGGGAAATCCTTTGTTGGGAGGCAGTTAGTTGGTCCTGATTGTTTTTTGTCTGGAATTCCCCTGTTTTTGAGTGTTCTTTCTTTACTGTCCTGATTTTAGAGGATTTTTTTCTGGTAGCCAGATTTTGTTCATTTTCATGGTTTCTTCCTTTCTGTTGAAATTGTCCCCATGCTTGTGGATTTCAATGGCTTCTCTGTGTAGTCTGACAAGGTGGTTGTGAGAGTGGTCCAGCATTTCTGTATTCTCAAATAAGATGCTCTATCCAGGTTGATTCCTCAAGTGCTCTGCTATAGCTGACTTCTCTAGTTGAATTAGTTTGCAGTGCCTTTCATGTTCCTTGATTCGTGTCTGCATTGGTGTGGTGTTTGGTGGTCCCTATGTAGACTTGTCCACAGCTGCATGGTATATGGTCGACTCCTGCAGAGGTGAGAGGATCCCTCTTGTCCTTTGCACTGGTTGAATTTTCTTAGTGGGTCTGAACATAGTTTGTAGGTTGTGTTTTTTCATCAGCTTCCCTAGGCAGTCAGTAGCAAGGACTGCTTTCTTCGACGCACAGTAGATTTCTTTGTCCATGCTCTGCTAATGAAACCTACAAAACTAATTTGAACATTCTTTCTTCTTCCTTTCCAATCTCTCTTCCAACAGCTATCCAGCACACAACCAAAATATTTCTGGAGGGCTGAGAAAGTCCAGCCTCGTCAGCCCAAGCCACCCCCCACCAGCTCCACCTGTGGGCTCACCCCAAGGGGCCAGGCCAGGCTTTGCACCGCCTCCTGCACCACCACCGCCACCACCCATGGCAGGCGTCCCCCCGCCTCCTCCACTTGCAGGCTTTCAAAATGCAGGCATCCCACCTCCGCCATCTCCACCCTCATTCCCACCTCACCCAGATTTTGCGGCCCCTCCTCCACCGCCGCCTCCAGCAGTCGAGTATGCCATTGTCCCTCCACCCCAGTTGCCCCAACAGGCAGGCAATGCACCTCCCCCTCCTCCACCCCCACCCCCACCTGGTCCTCCTCCTTCAACTTTTGGTGGCATGGATGGCTCAGAAGCTCCTCTTCCACAGTCAGATTCAGTGTCCTCCAAGCCCAAATCCTCACTGCCTGCTGTTAGTGAGGCTAGGAGTGACTTGCTTTCTGCTATTCGTCAAGGTAAGTCTTTTCTTGTTTTGAATTTTTTACATGATCCCAGGTATGTAGATATAAAAGAGGAATAAAAACCAAATATTGTTTATAATGAATTGGCATGCGCGAGGCTAGATAACAGACTGATTTTCTTGTTCATGGAGTACAGCTGAAGCATTTTCTGAAGAGTCCACTGTAAACACTGTACTTTCAGCTAAACAGGTTCATGTAAATGGGCGGTGTTTAGAAACCTTGAACTGTTGCCGGATTTTCTCTTAGTATTGAGCTAAGAGACCTCATTTAGGGCCAAGACCCACAGTTCAGAAGCAGTGATCTAGAGTACAGTTTTTCTACCAAAGGAGGGGTGGAACAATGCATGGCCGGAATCATTCGTTGTTGTAAGTTTTCTGGGCTGTATGGCCATGTTTCAGAAGCATTCTGGAGCCCCTGGTGGCGCAGTGGGTTAAACCCTTGTGCCGGCAGGACCGAAGACCGACAGGTCGCAGGTTCGAATCCGGGAACAGCACGGATGAGCTCCCTCTATCAGCTCCAGCTCCTCATGCGGGGACATCAGAGAAGCCTCCCACAAGGATGATAAAAACATCAAATCATCCAGGCGTCCCCTGTGCAACGTCCTTGCAGACGGCCAATTCTCTCACACCAGAAGCAACTTGCTCCTGACACGACAAAAAAAAAAGAAAAGAAGAAGCATTCTCTCCTAACATTTCACCTGCATCTATGGCAGGTATCCTCTGAGGATGTCTGCCATAGATGCAGGTGAAATTTCAGGAGAGAATGCTTCTGGAACATGGCCATACAGCCCAAAAAACTTACAATAACCCAGGGATGAAACAATTTTGAAAACACCTGCATATGGGTTAAATATGGGTAAACTTTGAATGTTTGACCTGTTGGTTGAGACATTTGCGTGGGGAAAACTTGTAACCTGGACTCTGAATATACCTTTCTTACAACCATGAGAAACAAGGGACTTCATTTTTTTTTCTGGTGGGCCTTTAGGGTCAGTTACGCAACTGACATAGTCCCTCCTGTAATGGTGCATTGAGTCCAATGTTTAACCTCACTATTAAGAAGAAGCTGCTACTCATTTTTTGCTCCTCCTCGGAGGGAGGGAGTTGAACAAGTCTTACAGCTTGAACCTAGACAAGATGTATGTATTGAGTGAGGTGGCAGTTGGAACTGTTATGAGCTCATGGCTGTGAGATACCTTGCCCTTAGGAAGCATGTATAAGAAATGCCAACAGTGAACCCTCCTCCTTTGAGCCATTCAGGTTAGAGTATCTTCTTTTAACTTTATTTCAGTTCAACCTTTGGGTGTTTATGTATACCACACATTCTAACCAAGTAGCATTTCAGAAAACTGTGTAACATCAACACTTCCTCATTGCTCTTTGGTTATTTCACACCAGGAAGCTCCAGCAGGAAGTTTAGTTCAAACCACGCTTGTCCAACCTCTGGGCCATGGCTATGAATGTGGCCCAACACAAAATCATAAACTTACTTGAAGCGTTAGATTTTAATTTTTGTAATTTGGTTGTGTCATTCTTGAGTGCAGATCATTGAGCGTAGATGATAATGAAATGGAATTGAATAATCAGAGTATGTCACGTCTACAAATATTGAAGTATTATCTGTAGTTTGCACTATAATTGTAAACAGTCCAGCCAGAAGACCTGCTCAATGATTTTAAAAGATCTGTATTTTTATTTTTTATTTTTTTGCTTATCTGTGGTGGCAGATATCAAATTATGCACAGGGCATTTTTCTTTCTTTTTTGCTCATCAATTATCATTAATGTAAGTGTATTTTATACATTGCCCAAGACACATGTGGCCCAGAGGAGCCAAAATGTTGGACACCCCTGTTTTAAAACCTCCTTTTTGCCAGGCTGCATTCAAACAAGAGCAATAACTGAATGAACTATTAGGGATCAAAACAACAGCTGGTTTATGTTTTTTCCAAAGTAGAATACCGTATATATTCAAGGATAAGCCAACCCTAATATAAGCCAAGGCACCTAATTTTACCACAAAAAATTGAGAAAACATATTGACTCGAGTATAAGCTGAGGGTGGGAAATGCAGCAGCTACTGGTAATTTCAAAATAAAAATAGATAGCAATAAAATTACATTAATTGAGGCATCATGTAGTTTAAATGTTTTTGAATGTTTACCATTTTTCAAATAAAAAACAGTAAACTAGCTCTGTACGTGGAAAAGTAGGGTCAACAAAACAATATGGTATCAACAATAACATAATAATAATAATAATAATAATAATAATAATAATAATAACAACAACAACAACAACAACAACAACTTCATTTGTATCCTGCCCTATCTCTCCATGGGGACTCAGGCCAGCTTCCAACATAGTAACAGGCAAACATTCAATGACTATATAAACAGTGCAGAGCTAGATATAGATCTATAATTATATATATTAATTTCACAAATGCATTTCCCCCTGAAATGTTTGCAAATTCTCTCTAGATGTGCATTTCCTTCCTGTAATATTTGCAAGTCCTGTATATGTTTATATTTATCTAGACATCTGTATGTGTGTGTGCATTTCACCTGCAATATTTGTAAGTCCTATATATCTATATTCAAATAATAATAATAATAATAATAATAATAATCTTTATTTCTACCCTGCCACCATCTCCCCAATGGGGACTCGGTGTGGCTTACATGGGGCCAAGCCCGGACAACATAATACAGCAATAAAATCAAAGCATATACATCAGACAACAACAACATTATCAAAATGACATTAAAATAATAATGAAATAATAACAGTAATAATAAAATAAAAATAAAATACCAATAGACACAATCACAGTAGAGATGACAATAGGCGGGCCACATATTCCGAATAAAAACAATTAACAGACTATGATGAGATAAAATAGGAGCAGGAAGTTTGAATGGAACTCATAAAACACACAGAGTTGTGGGGCAGAACATCCTATTTGGAGGGCACGAACTCCATTAGCCAAAAACGTTGAGGGGGTATAAAAAATCATGCTGAGCACCTACTCGTCAAAGGTGCAGCGGAAAAGCCAGGTTTTGAGGTTCTTTTTAAATGTTTCCAGTGAAGGGGCTTTCCTGATCTCCCCAGGTAAAGAGTTCCAAAGTCGGGGGGGGGGGGCACAGAAGAGAAGGCTCTCTCCCTTGTGCCCACAAGACTAGCTTGTGAGATTGGTAGGGATGAAAGGAGGACCTCCCCTGAGGAACGAAGACACATCTATATATATATTTGTGTGTGCATTTCCCTATATGTATCTATATGTATATAGGATTTGCAAAGACCTGTAAACATATGAGGGGAAATTCATATATAAAATTAATGTATATATGTAAAATTAATAGATACATATATACATTGATATGCATATATTAATGTATGCATACATTAATATATTCATATTAATGTATTTCTGTATCTATTAATTTTAATGTATAAAATTAATAGATATAGATATATAGGTACATAGAGATTGCAAAGACTTGCAGGGGGAAATGCCTATATATCTGTAGGAGAGATTTAACAAATATTTCAGGAGAAAATTCTTTTAGAAAATTAATGGATATTCCTGACTTGCAAGGGCTTCTCTCCCCCTCCTTCTCTTTTCAAAACATTCCAGCCTGGGAGGGGAAGCAGAGTAGAAGCAAAAAAGAAAACACACTGTTGAGGGAGGGGAAGATGAGAGAAAAATATATCATATATTGCAAGCAATGGCCTCTAGGCTCCGCTGCCTGGTTTAACTCCATTATAAGCTGAGGGAGGGTTTTTCAGCCAATTAAAGGGTCTGAAAAACTCGGCTTATCTTCGAGTATATCCCGTATATATTGTTGCTTGAGACCAGAATGCTTTCCTGTTACTCAGAATCTTTTGTGATTAACATAGCCAGTCTACATTGAAGTTTCAGATATTCCTCAACATTGTCTTTTTCTCTGTCTCCTTTTAAACATTTAACATAAGGCACTGGTTCACAGACCTTCAGACTACTTGCTATTTTTCATTTGGTCATATTGGAAATCCTCCTGTCATGAGTGTTCATTAGTTTTTAGCAAGCTGTGGGTTTGCTTACAGACTTTGAGTATCCCCTTTTGGGGCTTCGCAAAAGACATTATTAAAAGCCTCTGTTCCCTGGGAAGAGCAATCAGTAACCTTCCTTCTTTGCTTGCCAGGATTCCAGCTTCGCAAAGTTGAGGAGCAGCGTGAACAAGAGAAGCGAGATGTTGTGGGCAACGATGTGGCAACCATCCTTTCACGCCGCATTGCAGTAGAATACAGCGATTCAGAGGATGATTCCTCAGAGTTTGATGAGGATGAGTGGTCTGATTAAATCCCCACCCGCCATTCAGGCTTTTTTGGAGGCAGAGAGTGAAAATCACATAACTTCCAGATTGCCAAACCTCCTCACTTCCTCTCTCCCCCCCCCCCCCCCCTTGACTAATAACCAAAGATCAAGATATCAAGCTTCCAAGTAATTGTTTTCCTTTGGGAATATTGCCTCCTTCCTAGCAACTTTTCCGTAGATATACAGATTCTCAGGGTCCAGGGAGTGGGCAAAGTCTATTTGTAGATTTATTTTGGGTTAGGAAGATACTTTTTAACGAGACTTAACAATGCAGGTCCTTTTGCAATCAAAAAGTGGTTGTCAGGATAGCAAGCATCTTGACAGGCAATAAATCTAAAGGCAGTGCTCTATCTTTGTAGCTGTATGTTGAGCATTGGAACGACAGAACAGTGAACGATTCCATTAACTAGTGGCTTGTCTTCTTACCCAGTCAGATTTTATTAATAGACTCAATCTTTTTATTCCCACTCCATTCCATTTAGTCTTCTTGAATGCTAACTTTAAAACCTAAAATGAATGTTTAAGAGTTGTGTCATATCCTGTTTCCCCTAAAATAAGACCTACCCTGAAAATAAGTCCTAGCATGATTTTTGAGGATGCTCAAAATATAAGCCCTACTTCAAAATAAGCCTAGTTGCAATTAACTAAAATATAGCAATTTGGGGGAAAGGACATCCCCTGAAAATAAAACCTAACACATCTTTTGGAGCAAAAATTAATACAAGACCCTGTCTTATTTTCAGGGAAACCGTGTTCCCTCATTATTTTGCAGTTCACTTTTCGTGGACTCCCTGTTTCGCGGGTTCTGGCAACAGAGTGTGAAAGGGGGTTTCACCTCCCCCTTGGGAGAGAGGCAGCCAATCATAAAAAAGAGAGAGGAGATACAAAGCAGTATGTAAATCACGGCCTTATAGTCCCTTCCTTATAGCTAGCAACAACAAAAAAAGGTGTGCTGTGCCTTTAAATCTCTCCTCACTTCTGCCTCACCCTTGGAGCGCGCTATATATATATATATATATATATATATATATATATAATCCCTACTTTGTGGATTTTCACTTTTTGCGGATGGTCCTGGGAACGTAACACCCGCAATAAGTAAGGAAACACTGTATATAGAAGCTCTAGCAAGAAATGTGGATCTACACCAACATTCTTGCCTCAGGAAAAAAGCAAAACAAAGTGGGAGAACTGATCTGCTGTTCTCCTTATCTAATGCAGTTGGTATTTTCTACATAGGAAAGAGTCTCAGTAACAGACTTGGGCCCTTCATGCAACCTGTCTCCACTCCTACTTTAACTCATGGCTGGTTAGTTCCACAACTTTTTTCCTCCTCTGTTATTTCATAAAAACTACAGGTCTGCAGCTTCAGGAGTAGTCCAAACAGGGCAGCTGTTACACATGACAATATTAACTACATTTACTCTAAGATCAATTTCACCTCAATATGTATGCATACCTCTCCTGTCCAAGATTTGATACGTACAGTGTCACAGGGCAGGTCCTTACTATAATCTAGGAGACCTTCATTAGTGACTGATGCTGGGGCCTTGCATAATGGATATGCTGATTTTCAGTTCCAATAGAGTGCCCTCATACCTTTTTACCAATCTGAAATTACTATCTTTACCTGCCCTTCATTTCTCACTACAGCAGTGGTTCTCAACCTATGGGTCTCTAGATGTTTTGGTCTTCAACTCCCAGAAATCTTAACAGCTGGTAAACTGGCTTGGATTTCTGGGAGTTGTAGGCAAAAAACACCTGGGAACCCACAGGTTGAGAACCACTGCATTACAGTATGCCTTGTAAGACTTTCTGCCTTCTCTTTCTTGCGGTGATGCTGCTGCTGATAGGCCTGCTTCTTTGATGTCAGAGCTCCGTGTTCTGTTTAGCCAAGGGACCAAAGCAGGGATAGAAAAATGTGGCCTTCCAGTGGTTTTTGGGTTGTTACTCCTGTCAGCCCTAATCCCCTTGGGGAGATAGGGCTGGTTATAAATAAAGTGTTACTATTATTATTGGGGCCCTCTTGTGGCGCAGCGGGTTAAACCGCTGAGCTGCTGAACTTCCTGAGCAAAAGGTTGGCAGTCTGAATACAGGGAGCGGAGTGAGTTCCCGCTGTTAGCTCCAGCTTCTGCCAACCTAGCAGTTCGAAAACATCCAAATGTGAGTAGATCAATAGATACTGCTTCTGCAGAAAAGTAATGGTGCTTCATGCAGTCATGCTGGCCACATGACCTTCGAGGTGTCTACGGACAACGCTAGCTCTTCGGCTTAAAAATGGAGATGGGCACCATTGCACAGAGTCGGACACAACTCGACTTAATGTCAAGAGGAAACCATTATTATTATTATTATTATTATTATTATTATTATTATTAGTCACCATAGCCAATCCGCATTAGTGTGCAAGGTTGGAGTCCAGAAACATTGGAGGGCCACACATTTTCAAATCCTTGAAACAAGAATTTGCTTCAGGCTGAATTTCAAGCCTCAGTGGGAAGAATTCATAATAACTACTCTGGGAAAGTTCCCTTAGACATTCCTTGTAGGGATTGTGGTGCTTTTGTGTGCAGCACTGTACAGCCTTGAATGTATACTTTCAGTATCGTAAGACTACTAAGTTGGCTCTTGTTGACGGTTTTCTCACTTCAAAATCATTCTAAATTTAGAGCACACGTTGCATGTCAAAATGCTTCTAGGACAGGTATGGGTAAACTTGAGCCTTCCAGATGTTTTAGACTTCAACTCCCACAATTCCTAACAGTCTCAGGCCCCTTCCTTTTCATTTTCCCTTTCCTTTTCTGCTTAAGCGGCTAAGGGGGGAAAGGAAGGGGCCTGAGGCTCTTAGGAATTGTGGGAGTTGAAGTCCAAAACACATGGAGGGCCCAAGTTTGCCCATGCCTGTTCTGGGATATCCAGTTCATTTGGTTCTAAGGGAGATGATATTTTAAAGGACCAGCGGACCGACTACTGTCATTCGGATCAAACATTTATCCTTGAAGCAGCTGTGTACATTGTGATTTGGAATGCATAGTTGAGACGCTGCACGAAACAAACCCTGTTGCTCATGTTCATAATAACTTGTAATGGACAGGTTATCCACAGTTGTCCTGGATCCATCACTTCAAGACTTGAGATTGTGTCAGTTAGTGAGGCTCCCCCCCCCCCCCCCCCCCCCCCCCCCCCCCGCTTGTAAATGCTATCACACTGGGTGGCAGTTTCAATCTGAATTTGAAAATAGAGGTAATGACCATTCATAATAACAACCTGAGGTTCCCAGAGCGTGTTTAACTTTCTAAACATTTTGATAGGTGTGCTAATTCTTTTTGTAGTCCAGCAGTAGATAGAATATTAGCTCTCTGTTGTTCAGCATCTTCTCTGCATGAACAAGTTCCCACATTCGGTCTCTGTATCTCCAGTTAGAGTTGGAAAATATCAGTATCTAAGTTTACTTTACTTAGGCGATCCCTCGTTATTCAAGTATGGTGGCCTTCCAAGTGTAGTGTCTTGGTGGTGGATATATAGATGACTGTGGAGTCCTATTCATGTTGTTCCACAGTGAGGGCATCTGTTTCCAGGTGGAAGGCGATCCCAGTCAGGGTTGGCTTGATGGGCCTTCTCCCTCTTGACCCATTTCTCCCTTCTGCCCTCCATTTGTGCCTCTTCAAATTCCACATCTCTGCTGGTCACAGCTGACCTCCAGTTAGAGCGCTCAAGGGCCAGGTCTTCCCAGTTATCTGTGTCTATGCCACAGTTTTTAAGGTTAGCTTTAAGCCCAGTGCCTAAGAACCAATGCCAGTTAATGTAAATAGTACAGAGTTGGACAGACCAACGGCTTGATTCATTAGAAATCAGGGGTTTTTTTGTAGGGGGAGTGTAGGTTTCCGTTGAAACAAAACCCAAGAGAAGGACTTCACCCAAGACTCCAGGAACCATTAATGGCTCCATCTTCCCTCTCAAATGTCACTGGATTTCTTTTGGGCTTATTTAAAGGAGTGTAGTGCTCTCCCGGAGAACAATCTGCAGACTTTACCTGAATGCCCTGAAGCAGTGGTTCTCAACCTGTGGGTCCCCAAGTGTTTTGGCCTACAACTCCCAGAAATCCCAGCCAGTTTACCAGCTGTTAAGATTTCTGGGAGTTGAAGGCCAAAACATCTGGGGACCCACAGGTTGAGAACCACTGCTCTGGAAGAAGAAATCGTTTGCCCAGATTGCACCATTCATCAATAGGGCAACCCAACACAGCTTCTGTCCTATTTAAGCCACTTACGGTCCATTCGCCATGTAATATGGCCTTCGCATACCACGTCCCACTTTGTGTTTGCAGTCATTTTCAAGTGGGAAAAGAACTTCCTTGAATTTGTTGGGAATCTAAAATAATTAGTAGTGTCTTGTCCTGAAACATTAGTCCTGCTAATTCTCCCACTCTGGACATTCCACAAATACATAAACCCCAATTGCCTAGTTTCCGACAGACCTTACAACCTTTGAGAATGCCTGCCATAGATGCAGGTGAAATGTCAGGAGAGAATACTTCTAGAACATGGCCATACAGCCAGGAAAACTCACATTAACCCAGTGCTTCCGGCCATGAAAACCTTTGACAATACAAAGTCATAACTCTTAAAATGTGCCTGTTCTTAAACGCCATGCCTGAGTAAAGGGAACTCTGTCCTTTTAACAGGCTGTTTATACCTTCAGAGACTCAAACTGAGCTACATTTAAGTTTGTTTATTTTCTATTTTTATTATCTTGGTGTGGGAAAAGGGGTAGGAATTTGATTTTTTTTTTATTGCAGCTTTTAACATGATTCATTTAACTGATTCCAAAAAAACTAACATTTTTGTTTTGTTGTCCTGTCTGGAATGGTAAATGACTTCTTTAAGTGCCTTATTTCATATGACTTAATTATATTGATAAGATTAATTATTTCAGATAGATCACAGGGGCTAAACTGCAACAAAAGTGTAGATGTGGAAGGATGGCTCTATGTCACGTAGGTCTTTCTTCCCCATTCCACTGTCCTCTGTATAGCTTGAACCACAACTCTTACCATGCATGGCCAGCACATCTAGTCTGTGTGTTGTGCATGGATGGTAGGAATCAAAATTTAACACCACCTGGAGGGTGCCATGCTGATGAAGGCTGATATCTTAGAATCATAGGGTTGGAAAGGGACCACATGGGCCATCTAGTCCACACCCCTGCTATGCAGGAAGAGCATCTTGTAGAGCAGGGATGGGCAAACTTCAATTCCCACAATTCCTAACAACCTGAGCCCCCTTCCTTTTCCTCCTCAGTCACTTAAGTAGCTGAGGGGGGAAAGGAAAGGGCCTGGGGCTGTTAGGGATTGTGGAAGTCCAAAACACCTAGAGGGCCAGAGTTTGCCCATGCCTGTTGTACAGGTATCTCAGCATACTAACCAGTGTAAAAGCTTGTTACCTTTGTTGGTGTCCTCCATGCCGAAACACTGGGATATGGCCAACACTGTGAAATCTTACACGAACGGGTAAATACGTTTTCACAGCGTTGATGGAGAAAAAGCGATTATTTTGTTCTACATTAAGAAACTACCATGAGCCTGGAATCTCGCTAGGCTTGACAGTGATCCATTGTAGCCTTCAGGATAGATGCAAGGAAATCTGTTTCACCAAGAACAAGTGCGGTAATGCCTCCACTGTTGCCCAGTCCTGTGGCCAGTACTATATATATTGTACAAATTTGATTGCTCAATGCCAGACTGTACCCTGTTCATCTCGTGTGAAGAAGGGAAGGATCATCATTAGTGTTTGTAATGTTGCTATGCTTTGGCACTCTCCTTCGGAGTTAGATCATCTTATTGCCTGTGATTGCAGTTCTTAATTCAGACTTTTTAGATAATTGCTTTTATAATCTCTCCAGTCTTGCCTCTCTCTTTTCATGGGAGACTTTTTGTAAAGTTTCAATGTGACTTACAAATACTTTTTACTATGTAAACTTTTAAAAAATGATAAATTCTTTCTAGCCAATTAACGGTTGTACTCTTGTTATTTCTTTGCAAATAAAGGAAGATAAAAAAGGAACCAGTTAACTCACATCTTGAATTTGCAGAAGGTTTGGGGACTATGTGACCAGATCTTGTTGGACTGCAAGTCCCAGGACATCCTTCAGGAGAGATAAAGTGGGATGATGATGATGATGATGATGATGATGATGATAGATTACAAAAAAAGCATTTGACTCATAGCTGGATCATCAAATGTCTGAATGTCATCAGGGTTTGTGAAAATATTAGCAAGTTCACTGAAAATGCAATGAAACAATGGAAAACTGGGTTTTTTGTGGGCAATGAAAGCTATGGAACTGTTAACATGAAGAGAGGAATTTTTCAGGGCAGCTCACTGTCACCACTGTTCATTACAGTGATCCCACTGTCAGTAATTCTACAGAAAACAAACCTGGGCTACCAAGCAATAAGAAATTCATCAAAAAATTCCCACTTGCTGTACATGGATGATCTAAAGCTTATGGAAAACCAGAAACAGAAATCCAGTTACTGACCAACACAGTCCGAATCCTCAGCACTGACATCAGTATGGAGTTCGGCCTAGACTAATGTGTCACAGTGGCATTAAAGAAAGGGAAAACTACTCATACAGACGCCAAATGGATAAACTATAAAGTGCAATCAGCCTGAAGCCTATAAATATCTGGACATATTACAGCTTGACAATATCAAGCAAGGACATGTGAAAAATGTGGTCAACAAAGAATATGTCCAAAGGGGCAGAAAAATTCTGAAAATCAAATTAAATGGCGGAAATACAATCAAGGCTATCAACACCTGAGCCATCCCCCTCATCAGATACACTGCTAGAATTGTGAACTGGACACAAGCATAGCTAGATGATCTGGAGAGTAAAAACAAGAAAACCGATGGCAATGCACTACTCATTACACCCATGTAGTGATGTCGACAGACTTGACCTGCAAGGGAAACCAACGGTAGAAGAAGAGAAACATGCACAGGCAGATTATGGGAAGGGCAGTCAAGAACCAACATTGATGGAAGTCAATAGTAGTAAACTGCTTAAAGTGCAAAAGGCAGAATGAATACCGTAAAAACACAATCCAGAGCAGAAGCGAAAACTGGCAAAAGAAGGCTTTCTATGGACAGTTCCTGGGAAAAATTGAGAGCAAAATTGACAAAGAAAAAACATGGATGTGACTCAAAAATGGAACGTTGAAAGAGGAGACAGAGGGCCTGATTTTTGCAGCCCAAGAACAAGCTATTAGAACTGATGCCATCAAAGCCAGAATTGAAAAGTCGATGACCGGTTCCAAATGTAGCCTCTGCATGGAAGCAGGCAAAACAGTGGATCACATACTCCATCATGCAGCTGGATGATCAATTGGAACTTGTGCCACAAATACCATCTGCCTGCGACAAAGAACTGGTGGGATCACAAGCCTGAAAAAGTTGTGGAAAGTGAACACATCAAATTACTCTGGGACTTCTGAATTCAGACTGACGAGTTTTGGAGCACAAGACTCCTGACCTCACGATCATGGGAAAAAAACAAGTATGGTTCATAGATGTTGCAATCCTAGGTGACAGAAGAATTGTTGAGAAGCAACTGGAAAAGCTTACACAATATGAGGATTTAAAAATCAAACTGCAAAGACTCTGGCACAAGCCTGTCAAGGGGGT